ACGCAGCCAGGGTCTTACTCATCAATTACCAATACCACCATTTACGTGATACTCATATTAACCCAAATCACCCTTAGGGACGCAAGAACAGCCAAAATGCCTCCTGGACCACCGCAACACATATTTCGAATTTGATATTCACAGACTAACATCCATGAAATTAAACAAACCCTGCTCGGATACAAACTGTCCGGTGGCGTCGCTTCCGTGGTTGGTTCACTTCGCAAGAGCACACCCAGTGGAAATGTAGCTCCGCGCGCGGATAGCCAAGATCGCAAACCGTCGTTTCCGAGAGGGAAAGCAGTGGGAGAGCTGAAGTCGGTTATGTCGTATCGTTCCCTACTCGGTTCTCCCCGCGTCCGTATCTCCGAAGGCTTTGGGGAGACCGCCAGCTATGTCACGTGCAAGGTCTATTATAAGTACTTATAATAATACTTATATAGACCTTGCTCACGTGCTCCCAGAGAGGTACGGAGAGAGAGAGCGACGCCTATTCTGACGTCTATTCGTACATTTATATAAACATGACTGAGATATTACGTGTATGAAAAATATACATAACACAGGAGAGGATGGAGTAAGATTTCATCATTCAGAATGAGTTTCATTATATTTTTTTCCTAAACATGAAAGTAAGGGTAAGAGGCATAACAAAAGCCATTATTAGCGCTTACATATAGGGAGAGAGAGAGAGAGAGAGAGAGAGAGAGAGAGAGAGAGAGAGAGAGAGAGAGAGGAGAGGGAGAGACGAGAGGAGAGAGGGGGAGAGGGAGAGGAGATGAGAGAGAGAGAGAAAAGAAAAGGGAGAGAGCGAGGGGAGGAAACGAGATAGGGGAAGACAAAGGACAGAGAGAGAATCATTGAGAAGACGACGAGACGGAGAGAAAAAGATTGTGGGGGGGGTGCAGGCAGAAGACAGAGAGAGATAGAGGACAGAGAGAGAGGGGCAGAAACAAAAAGGCAGACAGAGAGAATGTATAGGAAAGCAAGACAAAGAGATAGAGAGAATGAAAATAAGTATGAGAAAGAGAGAAAAATATATATAGAGAGAGAGATGTGAAGACAGACCGACAGACAGCGACAGAATATGAGAGAGAAAGAGAGAAAAAGAGAGAGAGATAGAAAGAAAATATTTGCTGTGAGATGGCAGATGAAATATGATTTAATTATGAACTAGTGGAATTCAAGGTAATTAATGTAACTGATTTTGTATTTTCATATCTAATTAATCATGAGGCATGCCTTCCTTGCACCATCTTCAATACTACACACACACACACACACACACACACACACACACACACACACACACACATATATATATACGTGTGTGTGTATGTACATGGGTGTGTGTATGTGTATGTATATATGTATGTATATTTATACTTTTTTTTTTTTTTAGTCTGTCATTCTGAAGCCATCTTTCTTTTTCTAACTTTCGCTTAAGCAAAAAAATATATATATACTTGAATCCGACAACACCTACCTTGATAACTATTGATAATGCTCCATCCAGCTTCAATTTGCGATCACTGAATCACACTTTCCAGCATTCCAGATTTATTTTATTTTTTTTTTTTTTTTTTTTTTTTAGATTTATGGCTGATTACTGAGTACAATTAACTGGCTTGAAGTAAGGGTTGAGTGAGCAAAAGGGATTAAAGAAAGAAAGACAAAATATTTACATATCTACCCTCCTCATTTTTTCACCGTATTTTTAGTAACTAATAGTATTATTTGTGGTATCATATCTTTGTTTGAATACATCTCTAAACAGATACAGATAAGTAAAGAAGTAAATAAATGCATTTAAGCGTAATTTTTCGATGAGAGGGTTAAAGCGATTACTGTGCTTAAAATATAATAGTTTACCATAACAGACCAATTTTTTGTTGAATTAATCTCTTTACATTTTCTTTTCAAACAATTATTAAGGGTAGACTACGATAATTCATACGATTTTATTCACCATCTGTATGGATAGATAAAAACATACTAATTTTGTTTATCAACAAAATTCATTAGCTTGAAAAATTATGCACAAATGAATTATTTGATGTCGTGTATGCCATTTGGGTAAAAAAAAAAAAAATAGAATGAAACCAATAAAAGTTATTTACGATTATATATTTGTGTAAAAATAGGAATCTAGAGCGAAGGTAGATGTGAATAAGCGTTTCGTTTCGTTAGTTTGTTCAGTTAAATAAAAGGATTACTGGGTTTGTGTATAATAACAATGGGGGGGGGGATCTAGAACAATGCTAATAGAGTAAAGTACAACATCTCTCTCTCTCTCCTCTCTCTCTCTCTCTCTCTTCTCTCTCTCTCTCTCTCCTCCCCTCTCTCTCTCTCTCTCTCTCTCTCTCTCTCTCTCTCTTCTCTTCTCTCTCTCTCTTCTCTTCTCTCTCTCTCCTCTCTCTCTCTCTCACTCTCTCTCTCTCTCCTCCCCTCTCTCTACCACACCCACATACACATATAAACATGCACTCATTCCTACCAT